TGGGGGTCTCAGCAAAGGGACAGCCACCTTGCAATGCCTGGAGAGCTGGAGGTTATGCATCCATGGACATGTGACTGATCTTCTGAGGCTGGGCTCAAACCACAAGCACAGAGTGTACTAAGCCTCACGCCACCCAGCCTATGCAGATTCTATGCAGTTATAGAATGGAATAGTGGCACTTAATTCATTCTCATGGGGAAAATGTCTTTTTGCCTTTCCTATCTGGGAAACACATGTACAGCTGATGACAAGCTTGGGGGTCACAATGTGCAGCACCCCTGGAACTGGTGGTTAAAGACATTGCACAAGGACCTAACAGAGATTCTACCAGTCTCAGGATTCTCACCAGGAATCATCCAGTCATGGGCAAAGAGTCCTAATTGGGAGAGCTCTATAAAACTGCTCTCAGAGCATGTAGTATCAAATCTGCATAAAGTAAAAGAAAGAGAGATAATGAGCTGAACAACAGTGAAGTTTAAGATTCTTATATTACCTTGGTCACACAGCCAAGAACCCAGAAGAGCATAAAGGCAACCTAGCTTTTAAAAACAGGGCAGGTAAAAAAATAACCAGTTTAATGTACAGCCTACTTCTGAGAATGGAGTACTAATGTTACCGCCGTTTCCTGTTGGCTGTCTATCCGAAGCTTCCGCGATGCCGTTAAAGTGGAGCTAGTTCACATCTATAAGGTTTTCATGTTTGAATACTGTATGTATTATACACGTCTGTTAAATATTGTTTTAGTCGTGCCTCTTTGCTGTTTTTAATAATATCTGGAAGCTCGACAATTGCACCTTTATTTTACTTATTTAAAAGTTTCAGCTTATTCTTGAATTTCGACTGAAAAGGCAAAACTCTCAAAATTACAATAAGCCTAAAGTAAGCCTAGACTTGATTTAAAAAAACGGATATGATAGACATTTAAGTAGCTCGATAAAACAGTAGTATCATGTCCGTACCTACCATTGAAAACACCGAGGTTAAGTCCACAGGATTCATTCTATCAACTCCAATAACTACGGTCCATTGCGGGGCACAATTAGGAAGGGCTAACACTTTATTTGAAAAATACTGGGTACAATTCATAATCTTGGTGCTCCGGATCAAAAAGTTAACTCAAACATACTACTGATTAAAGGGCAGTAACAATTTGGGACAGTGTAAATACGCCATTGTCTTGCCAAGGCTGAAAAAGAATAGACGCGTGTGTGGGCGTGTGCGATCGCCCGCGGACGTGAGTTGCACAAACGACCTTTCCTATTGGCTTTCTGAAATGAGCTATTCTGATGTACCTTGATGACATAACTCATTCTTTCTCAATAAAAGTACAAGGACAGCTTGTAGTATTGAAAGACAGGAGCAAGGTACAGTAGGACGCAATCTCAACTTAGTGGCTAAAATGCATTGAGATACTCATTTTGATAGGGAAGAAGGAAGTTCTCATTTAGCAAGTGAGTTGCCATTTGAACAGGATACATACATTTTATGAACATTCAGGTAACAGTTGCTTCCTTTTATTTTTTAGAAATCATAACGTAATTTTTATAGCAAAGTGTAACAGTTCTGTTTGATGTGTTTGATTTTATTCAATATACACATAGAGAATGGTGACTAACGTTAAAACTGCATTTGAAGTTATATAGATATTAAAAGCAGTTGCATAAATGGCATTTTTGAAAATTAAGGCAGTTTAAAAAAAAGGCTGTCATCATTGTAACTGATATTACAAACAACTTGATATGTGTTGAGGTTACCAAATTCGCAATTTTCTGTCGTTATTTGTAAAAACCGTCAAAGCCCCAAAAAGCTAGAAAATGTAATAATTCTGTGCATAGTGTATCTTGTTTTACACGATTCAAGATCTATAATTGGAGTACATTTTACAGTCGCCACCAGGAACTGTACATTTGACCGTTGCTGTTATCATTATCATCATCATTATCAATTCTATATGTAGCTATTTATTTATCTGTTTGTTTCAGTACATAGAAGATAAAGATCTGCTGAGGATGGACTGGTACCTTCTGGTGATGGTGCTCTCATTGGGATTACCGTCTGCCGCTCAGAAAAACTGCTCTTCTCAATGTTTAACCTGCGCACAACTAATCTCCGAGGTGGACGGTTCCTTCGATAGACTAGTAAGAGTTTTGCTACCAGTTTCAGTTGCTGTATTTATTATTGCAGCTAAACTGCAACAAAGCTACTGTTGCATTTTTTTTTTCATTTAAAAATCCCTAGAATAACAGCAGGCCTACTGTGTCGGTAGAAACTTTGGTGTATTTAGTCATTAGAATTAATGAAAACCAAAAGCTATTTTTAAAGGTTAATTAAGTTCAACAGACATATGCCAGAACTAATCGGTAACTTTTCATTCATAATATACATTTGTTGTCATAATGGCTTATTTCTCATCGTCTATTGTGTATACACTCCAAGGTCGCAGTATTTCTGAAAATATTTTATATCCTGGGTTGAGCTGAGGGTAATAGCCTATAGTACTGATTGCGTTCCGTGCTTGTTTTTTTTTTTAGGCTTGCACTTTGGAGTGTGAAGGCATCTTGCCATCTACTTCTGACTTAGAAAAATGCCGGAAAGTCGTGGGATTCTTTACTAGTTCAACTTCGTTAAACGAAATGAATGAAGATAATGAAGACACAATTGAATCAGAATCATTAGACCTCCAAGGCGCTTTGGTTGGTCCGATAGTAAAGCGATACGGGGGATTTCTTAAAAAACTAGACAAAAATAAAATATTCAACTTGGGCTCGAATGAAAACGACTATCGCAAAGCCTCGTTAGCAAAGAAATACAGCAGGATTTTCAGAAAACCCGGAGAACGTGATGTGCCTGAAATCGGACGGGAGGTTTCGCAGCAGGAGGACGGAGCGGAGCTGGACCATGATACATCGGGCAAGATGAAAAGATACGGGGGCTTCGTACGGAAATTTGGCGGAAGAAGGAGCGGGGAGGAGGGCGGGCGGGAGGTGCTGCAGAAGCGTTACGGGGGTTTCTTGCGAAGGATCCGACCTAAGCTGAAGTTTGTCAATCAGAAGAGGTACGGCGGTCTTTTGAGGCGCCATTTCAAAGTATCCCCTCGATCGGAAGAGGAGCCAAACTCCTATTATGACTTTGATCCGTAGGTCATTTTTGGGACCGTAACTGTCAGCGATTATTGCAAATGTACCAAAATTCTCAGTGTTCCTTATTAACCCTAATCTCTTACTTGAAAAAGCACTTTATGGCTGGGGAGGTGGTCGCAATGACATTAGCTTGTATCTGTGTTTTAGCACATTCTTTAAGATATATGTTAATTATTTAAATGTAACATGTAAATGGGAAAATTCTGTCTGGCACATGAATGTTAAAATTATGCTTGTTTAATCACAATAAACTGATGTGCTTTTACTTCCGTGTTCAAGTAATATAAAATCACTCTACGCAAAGCTTGTCCTCTCATGTTGCTAATATGAAAATAGAAAACGAGTAAACCCCTGCTTAATTAAGCAAGTGTAGCCTACATGTTGTAAGTATCTGGATGTCTCTGCAGTAACAGACATAAGTTCCAAACATATACGATTCTTTTGACTTCGAGAAATAAAAAAGCGTGCCTAGGACGGAAAAAAGGTTAACTTTAGTAAAAAATTTGTCATACAATGCTTATTTTAAAATGTATACATCCACTTTCCGGGTGTTACAAAATATTACACAATCACCCTCTGATGGTCAAATTTAAATTTATTAAACCCAATTAAATGTTTTTAAATAAGTTCTTAATTTTTTAAAATAAGAGAAGCAATTTAAATGTTCGAAGAACTATGACTTTCTTAATCTATCCTTCCTTTTATCCAGAACACTTTCCAGGAAGCAAGGAGTTCACCGTGGATTTTATTAGAACTATATGTGTATTTAGACTTTGTACCCAGGAAAAAAACACACGTTAGGAGGAAGAACATGAAAACAATACACAAATTGAACTCAAACATGAAGGAGATAAAAATTCCAATACTTCAATTTAGATCATTAATTTCTCCTAATTATGCAATTAGGTCTGATCACTCGGGGCTATAGACCGAGTTTTTAAGCCTATAGCCTCAAAATAAGGTCAAGCCCATGGTAAACTAGACTTAGCCCCTGATCTTCTCGATAGCTAGAAACTCCCCTGATAAAGTCTCCTTTTTACACTAAAGCATATCTTCATAGTAGCGTGCGTGTGGTTTTTCCATGAAGCGTAACATGTTAGCGCCCTCTAGTGTAAAATTTAGTTAATACACAGTGAACTCTCACTAGCTGAAGTTCTACTGAAGTGACAGTGAAAATCCAACCATCGATGACCACTTGTCGAATACAGGGTCACAGTCTGGAAGCACCTAGAACCATCCACAACGCAGTCACATGTTATACGCAATCCATAGATATCAAGTTATCTAATCACATGTCTTTGGACTGCAAGAATAAGGTTATGTAAATCAGAAAAGCTCTATTTTTTTTTATAAATTTGCACAAATTCATAAAACATGTTTTCACTTTTTTTATTACGGGGTGTTATGTATTTGATGGAAGAAGAATTCATCAATTTCAATCCATTTTGAAATAAGTCAGCAATGCAACAAATTTTGCAAAAATTGGATCAAAGAAATACAGTGTAAATAAACAACGAAATCAGTTTCTGGAGACAGCATAGCACCAAATATTTACTTTAATATTTGTAAAAATACATAAACTGACAAAAGACAAAAACCATACACAATTAAGTTTCTGTTTACACGTCATACATTTTTGATCACATCGTTATAAACACCCATATTGTATTCTAAACACATTTTAGTCATATAAATTGCTAATTGGTCATATTCCTTCATGTATATTTCAATAAAATTTAAAAACATTTAATGTTGTTCAAAACCTAAAACTACATACAAACACACCATCAGTGATAAAAATATAATAAAAAAAAAGAAATATTTAAAATCTTCATTCTTTCATCTAAGTACTTTATAATTAAAGGCTAGAACAGATTTACAAAAAAATATTTTAATTGCTGGTATGTGGCATTAAAATAAAAAAAAAAATCTGTTTTTTTTTTTAAATATATAAAATGATCACATTATGAGGTGACTTTTCAGTAAACCAACCTTAAAGCATTAGTTAAAAAATAAAACTTACTATTATTAAATTTTGCAAAACTTTACATTAGTAAAAAAATATTTTTTTCTTGAAATGAGCATACCAGAAGAAATTTTGTCTTAACTGACACATTTCATGACAGCAACCAGGAAATCGTTTGTCAGGAAACCAGGAAACGTCAATGCATTCAGAACACTTGCTGGGCTTCCGGTCTGAGGTAGCCTATCTAGAAGGCGATGTCAATATGCTGGTTTAAATCTACCAGCAGGGCTTAGACTGGAATTTGAGTGGGGGGGGGGGGGACCCTAAAAGCTGATTTATGCTCCCTTTACAAACAAATTTGAAAGCAATGGTCACCAACTCTGCATTTTCTTTTATGCAATGAATGACTTAATGACACAATGCTAGACTTAATGCTGTGCACTGTCCAATAATGAGCTGCTTAAGGCACAATGTACTTGAAGTGAGTGCCTTATTTAATTTTAGACTTAAACTTTTACACTTTTAGACTTATTTGCTGAATTATTCCAATGCATGGAAAACCAGTCAGTAATCTTAAAATCCAAGGGGCGTGCATAGTCGCCCACAGTCAACTGTTCAAACTACACATTACTAGATTTCTCTGCCTCATGTTGTTTTAGAGTTATTGGAACAGTTATACACCATCTGTGCTATGAATTTGACCCAGGACATGCAAACATTCATAAATAAATAAAAATCTGCCCATAAAGAAATCTGGATTTGCCAGTTGTGTGCGGCAGTCGCTAATAACTTCAAATACTGAACCAATATCTTGCTACAGCATACAGCAGAGAACAGCCATGGCCTGTGATCGCACTTCTACCCCCCATGCTAGCTCCGCTTCTGAGAGACACTCAGGACTCAATGTCAGTCTAGCTAAGCTAGCTAAGTGCTAACCAGAGTGTCAGCTACCATACTGGTATCTACAGTAGCAAGACAATAGTCAATTTGCACATAAAATACCTTGTTTGTTTGGTGATATTTGTTGAGCTCTGTTGAAATGTTACATTTGAAATTACCTACAACTTCAGAAAAAAGCAACTAATTTTTATCCTGGCTCCCCTTGCGTAGCTAGCAAGTATTGCTATCATAAGTTTACCATGAACATACTGTATTGAAGGGAAGGGATGAAAACGCAACAAAAAGGATGTTTGTTAAGTGTGGGGAACAGGGCTGTGGGGAGATTTTACTTTCTGATTTGTTGCCGAGTATCTAGATGGCATCAGCTGGGAGGCCAGGCTGCAGCACAAGAAAAATAAACTTGCATGAAATTATTATGTATGAAACTGCCAATCAGATTTATTTATTCATTAAACAAAAGTGCCATGATCTAACCCACTTTAATTCCTGCCTTCCAGATGCCTAAGCTGGAAAATCTCTGCAAAGGCAGGCTCACAGAATTCGAGAACCTTGGTTCTAGGCAGCTCCATGGACCGTGATCTCCTCGGCTCCCACCACACAGCTGTTGGCCGTGTAATGTTTCAGCAGTCGGTTCCAGATCGGAGAGCACCGCAGCAGCTCCTGGTTACCTTCAATGGACAGAGAGACAGACAGAGCTTCATAAAAACCAACAGCATTTTCTTTAGCCTCAGGTCTAGGGGAATGTGAGGAGATCCTCTCACCAATAATGCAGAGGCCCTGCCGAGCCCTGGTGATGCCCACGTTAACCTGGTTGGGGTCCCCAACGAAGCCCACGTATTTTGAAAGCCATGGCCTGCTTGGGTCTTTCTCGATCTTGGCACTAGGGCAGGAACGTACGGTGGAAAGGATGACATAGCGCCATTCACTTCCTACAGGAGATGAAGCAGATACGTAATAAGGTGAGTTGAGAACAGTGAGGTCATTTTCCCAGGAAAAGAAGTATCACGGTGCAAAAGCAAAGGGTGCTGTATGGCTCTGTAGGTTAGGCTTCTGTGCCTGTAGTCATACCACTCTTTGGCCCTTGAGCAAGGCCCTGAAAAATGCTCCAGATGCTCCAAATAAATGGCTGACCCTGTGCTCTGATGCCAAACTTCTCAGATGTGTATGTCTAATTGGAGAGCAAGATGGGATACATGGAAACTAAAGAATCCCTATGTACTTGGTGAATAAAGTATCATTAAAATGTATACAATGTAAATTCTTTCACTCAAAAGTAAAGAAACATGTTAACATGTACATTTTATTCACTTAGTATAAATGCTAATCCACTACCATTTTCCATTCCAAGTGAAGAAAAAAAAACAGATTTTGAGAAACAGGAGAAATGACCTTGGCTTTTTGTGATGGTACACACGGTAATTCCATCCATATTTATCTCTGTAAGTTGTTTTTTGATCCCAGCCACTTGGGCATTGTATGGCGACAAGACGGCAATGTCCTCCTGACGGACTTTAGAGATGTTTACCAGCGACTCTGCTATGTGCACCTGTCACGAGTAAGAAAGGTAAAGTTACCCAACAAAACACTACAAAACAAACCCTAGAAAACAAACCTTGGAGTCTGGACAATAAGGTCGTCAAAATATAAACAAAAAATTAATTATAATAAAACAAGTGCTGTCATACAGAATTTATCTTCAGATACACTTACAGCTATGTCACTCTCCTCCCTGTTGGCTTTCGAGTTCTCATTTCCTTTTTCTGTGGTCACTATCAGGCTGACTTCCTCTCCAGTTATGTGTCCAAATAGTATGTGGGTCCTTCTGCGGTTACTGGCTTGCAGGACGCTGGGTGGACAGTTCACTTCGGTCTTCAGTTGTCCATTGTATGATTCCGTAGATGGAAATTCACAAATGTCCTTATGCTAAAACAGATGTATGTAATTAAAAAAAGTCAAAGAAATGCTCATTCATAGATATTTTTGTGCTGGTTTCCTCCCATAATCCAAAAAACACAAGAGAATTTGTGTGTATTGCACAAAGTGTGTAATCATGTGTGTGAATGTGTGGCCCTTTGATGAACTAGAATCCTGTCCAGGGAACCCGCTGCCTCATTCCCTATGCATTCCCTGTGCATTCCCTGTGCATCCTTCACTGCGACCTCATAACAGACAAGCAAGGAAACGGACAGAATGGAGGGATGATGGGATGGAAAGCTTTTACTATAATATATATATTATAGAAGTTCCTCCATTCCTTGACATTAAGCGAAATGGTCATTAAGTGAAAATCGCGGTAGCTTAGGCATGACCGTGACAGAGCTTACAACTATACTTAAGCCTTCAATACTAATTTTGTTTTATCCTTCATGAAATGGGCACTTTTAACAACATTACTCTCCCATTACTCTCGCCCCGGGGCACGTTGTTGTCTGGCATATGAAATTTAGTCGTAAATGCGTGTCTCGGTCAGAAAATGAATTACCGGCGTCGCTAAACTGAAGAAGTCGCTAAATGAGTGATTGTACACGCAGATTTATTATATAGCCTACAACATAAAAGGTGGTTTACACAATGCTAGTAATCTACTTCGTAAAAAGCAGAATAAACACCTTACCATCCTATACTGCGTGTCCAGCATTATTGTTCTGTTTGTTTGCTTAAAATAACGCTCAAAGAGAGACCTTGCCATGCCCTGATGTCGCACTTGTAAGTTCTTCACAATGGGCCGGAGCTGTTTGTGGTCACCAATTAACACAATCTGAAAAACGGTGACAGACGGAGAAGAGTGAGTTAGAAGACCTAATCGCTGTTTTTAATTAAAACACAAGCACTCACCTGCATGCTGTCCTTTGCATACGTTAGCAGACACCCAGTTTCACTGAGACAGTGTTGAAAGGCCAGACAGAAGGATTTAAAAGGATTTAGTTTATTTGTTCATTTACTATAATTAGAGGATTACTCATAATTTGATGGTTAAGATTCAGAAAATAACGTTGCTGTGACTACCAGTCCCTTCATGCTGGTCCCTTCATGCCAAAACATGTACACTCATGCAGTTGGTAGCTTTGATGCAAATACTATGACTAGTTTCAATAAAATTTAGTTTCCAGGTTAGACACATGTGTGATACCTTAAGAACAAGAAAACCAAAGCCTCAAAATTGCAGAAAAACTTACTACTTAAGTTGATGGTGATTTTGTTGTGAGGTTTCTGTAACATGTACCAGTTCAGCACCTCAACACCAACAGATAAATGACAACATCAGCCTACTGTCTATGTATCTAACGTCATTCTGAAAATCTGAAAACATTGTTTTAATGCCAGTCCTGCTTTTCATGCTAGCCTGATAGTTCAGCCCACTGTTGTGCTATGCTTCAACTGAATTTCTTTGTGTTGAGGGAATACATTTGCACTGAAATAAAAAAAAAAATCTAAAATATTAAGCCATAATGAGAAAAAAACCTACATACTGTAAGCAGGATTCCCACAGAAAACTGCTTTTATACTGTATGTTTCACATTCCATGGCTGTATAATTCCTTTTAATAGTAACAGAATCTTGTGGACATATATATTAGGAGGAACACTAAATGCCTGATTAGGCATCTGGGTCTTCTTCAATCTGCTCTCTCTTAAAAGTGTAAACTCACCTTTTCGGGATTGTGGCTAACCAGCGGGACGAGAGTCTGGGGCTCAGTTGCCATGGCGCTTTCGTCAATAAGGATCTGGCGCGCGCTGACGGATTTGGTGATGTTTGGTGTGGAGGCGGCCGTGCAGGTGCATAAGATGACGTCGTGTTTCCGCAGCTCGTGAAGTCTGGCTTTATTTAGAAGCTTCTTGTATCTACGAAGGGGAGCCGTTCAAAAGAAAATTGATCCGACTTAAAAAAACACCCTACGGCATAAAATTATAAATCTTTCTTCGACTCTTCTAACTGAGCCAGAAGGCAAAGCTCTCAATTTACCGATCGATCTACATTCCTACCCTCATCTATGGTCATGAGCTCTGGATAGTGACCGGGAGAATGAGACAGCCGAAATAAGCAGCTGAAATGAGCTTCCTTCGCAGGGCGGCTGGGCTCATCCTTAGAGAGAGGCTGAGGAGCTCAGACATTCAGGAGGGGCTCAAAGTTGAGCTGCTGTTCCTCCGCATTGAAAAGAGCCAGTTGAGGTAGTTCAGGCATCTGTCTACGATACCTCTTGGACAGCTCCCTAGGGAGGTGTTTCGGGCATGTCCAACCAGGAGGAGGCTCTGGGGCAGACCCAGGACATGCTTGAGAGATTATATCTCTCAGCTGGCGTGGGAATTCCTTGGTATTCCCCCAGTAGAGCTGGAGGAGGTGGCTGGTGAGAGGGAGGTCTGGGCATCCCTGCTTAGACTGCTGCCCCAAGACCCAACCCCGGATGGATGGATGTCGACGCATTTTCAGCATCGACTTCATCGACTGTGTTGACTAATTATGGCAGCCCTAGTTCAGAAGTTATAACAATCAGCCATACTTACTCTTCAACCTCGTTATCCGTCATCTGTTCCTCTGATCTTATTCTTTCATCAAAGTCTCGTATTTCACTTGAAAATGGGTTCTCTCCTTCCCTTATCCGGTGATGCATAGAAATAAGTCTGAAAAACATGAGTTCTATGACTTAATGCTAAGATGTACGACAAATACGTGGAATTTATTGTTTTAAATTTATTGTATTCTGTTTATTCAGCACTATGGTATATAGATGGAACAGAAGTAGGAATTTCATTATAGCCCCTAATCCAATATGTCCCAAGATCATTTGCGGATGCCTAAAACCACAGATACTCTATGTATAGCATGTTGTTTCCTGCACAAACATATATATGATAAAGTTTCATTTTTAAATTAGGCACATTCAGAGATATCTACAATATCTAATAATGAAACAAAATTTTATAACAATATATTGTATTATACTATATTACAAAATAAAAAAAAAGGGTTACTTGAACACAAGCACTGCAATACTGCGACAGCCGATCTGGTAACAAAATGGCTACTGTGTGACTAACGGGCATGTAGTGTATACACTATACAGCATGGAATGCAGTGGATACGTTGGACAAAGGGATGAATCACATCCTGGTTGGCAGGAGACTTCTTTCGCGCTATTCAGAATGGCACATAATTTAAAACTTCTGAATTATTTTGGAAATTTTCTGTTTAAGATTTCCAGGCTGTGACTGACCACGATAACTGAAAGTGTGGGACACAAACCCACAGATAGTGGGGGGGGGGGCACTGTACTATGTACTCATGTCAATAAAGGGACCTTGAACACAGATTATTGCTTTAATTGTTCCATTTACCTCGGAGGTTGGAAGTGAGAGCTGGGAATGATGGTTCACCCGAGTTACTGTAACTGCATTGCTGTTCAACCAGTCGAAAACCCATGTAGCAGCACCAGGGACCTCTTTCAAAAAGCAGGATTTCTTGGTTAGCCGGACAAATTGCTGGATTTAAGGTACCTCAAATTAAAGGGTCTTTATCTTCATTCACTTGTATTTAGCTCAGATTAATCCAACAAGTTATCCAGCTAAGCAAGAAAAATTTCTGAAACAGGCCCCAGTTCTAGCCAGGTTCATTGTTAGCAATACCAGTTGATAACAACACATTATACGGTATTTTGTGCATACAAACATTGTAGCAACATGTCCACAGGTGCTGGATGGACAGTACTGCGTGTGCAACTAATTTAGCGAAACACAAAGGCTCCCAAGTCTCACGCACTGACTGTGAGACACACGCTTCACCGTCACCCCTCACAGACCTAATGTAACTATAAACTTTTGATGAAACATGAAAGCCCTGAATACGTATATATCTATAACTATAGCTTTCATTTCTGTTGTTGAAGGGCGCAGCCTTCTTGAATTCTGAGGCTGGGGTTGCAGAGGTTCCTCCAACTTTCGAAGTCGGAATACCGACTTCTGGGGGTGTTCCAGGTGAAACTTAGAATTTCTCACTTCTGATTTCAAATGGAGCACAGCATATGTTATGGTTAAAAATCGTACTGATTTAAAAAATTAAACGAATCTAAGAAATTTAAGTTTCAAAACAAAAGCAGATTTCCACACTGTTACCTGAGCTCCGGCTTGGAGTGCTCCTGCCGCAGGGACTTGCGGGACAACTGAATGATGCTTCCTGGGTAGGGATACTCCAGCATCTCTATCTGCCGGCTGTAGACCCTGAGCAGCTTCAACTTCTTCTCAAACTTCATCAAGTACTCTGTGGACAAGTACACAACCACACAACACACTGTAATAAGCATATCTACACATATTTATCTATGCAAGGACATGGTTGGCATGTTCACCACCATGCAACACACCGTAATTGTCAGGGTCAGCTCCTGTTGTCCCTCAGTTGTCCCTCAGTTGTCCCTCAGTTGTCCCTCAGTTGTCCCTCAGTTGTCCCTCAGTTGTCCCTCATGTCTTTTGTGTGCCTTCCCCGTTTTGGCCTGCAGGTGTCGCTGGCTATCCTGTCCCTCCTGTTGTCAGCCTTTGTGTTTTCCCCTGCTCCCTGTCGTGCAGGGAGTTGAGCATCTGTAAATCTATTTGTCTTGTGTTCAAATCCTACCTCCTGTTTTTGTAGTTTTGTAGATTTTGTTCCCTTGTGTTTCAATTGAATCAGTTTTCTAGTCCCTGTGTTTTGATTTGTATTCGGTTTTGATTTTTTTTGCCTTTGTGCCCTTGATTGTGTTTTTTACCGGTCTGTTATTCCCAGTGTTAGATTCTGTTTCCTTGTTTCTGTCAGTGTCTTAGTTTTCCCCTCCCAGTCCCTTGATTTAATTATTAGTTTCATCTGTGGCCTGTTTTTCCAACCCTCGTTAATTAGTCTCACCTGTCCTGTGTTAGTCTTGTTATCCCTCAGTATTTAAGTCCCTGCCTCAGTTCAGTCCCCCAGTGGTTCATTGTATGTTGTTTGATGCCAGTTAAACTTTTGTACCCTACCTGCCTCTTGTTGCCCTGACCTTTTTGTAGTTTTTGTTTATCCCTTTATTTTTGACCCCTCGCGGCCCATTTTTGTTTTGTAAGTGTTTCTTGGATTTTCAGTAGAGATGGCAATTTGGAATCAAAACAATTTCGACACATTCGAAACAAAGTGTTTCGAAACGGTTTGAAAAGTTTTGAAACACTAGTTGTGCACAGCCTGCTGTGAAAAACCGGAACTGCAGCTACAGTATAGCAGGTACGGCAGAATAAAAACCTATTGCTGCAAGTTTCGAATGCCATGAAGCTCGAACTGTCAAAAATGTGCATAATACAATATCCTCCATTGTAGTGGACATTTTGTTTTTGCATCGATCTTTTCACTGATGTAAGGAAATATATTTATTCCTGTTGTACACCAAAGAGGACATGCTATGAAATTAAAAATCAAAATAAATTTGAAAAAAGATTATATAAAGTCTTATATCCTCCAAAGACATAGAAAATCACAATTAACCTAAAACTGAAGGACACTTCTTTCCTTGGGTCTCAGGGGGATATAGTTTCTCTCATAGGTATCCGATATCTGCAATTAGTGTGTGATAACTTTTTGCCAACCGTAATTTAACTAGTATGAATCATAAAAAGAAGTGGATGTTAGCAATATTATGAACATGTCTGCACGTCCACTTCCATGGCCTCTATAATGGAGCATATTTAGCCACCAGCTCATTCCACCACGCTGTGCTAAAAATGCCACTGGGGATTATCGCTTCCTGAAGCTGTCAGATTGATGGTGCCTGACATCACACTTTCTCCAGACACTACACTCCCCATCCATAGCCATCATACGTCAGGGAGTATCCTCTCTTGTTGTAATACAATCCAGTGCCTTGTGTTCTAACTGCACATAATTTATTTGCAGATGATTATTATTCTCATCTTTAAATATTCACATTTAGTCTCACATTCTGCTTCTCAAGATTGCACATCCATTTGTGTACTATGTACTTACTAAATCTGCTGCTGTATGTTTACTTTGCTCGCACCATGTGTACAATCTTTGTACTTTGTCTGTTTGGCATTATCTGCATGTTTGTATGTACCAGAATATCCCCCAGGCAATACAGTCAATCAAAACCTAAATTGGGTCTTATATCATTTATAGAGATTATTTGTTCCCATGGTTGTGTATTGTTAAAACATAATTTCTGTATTTACATACCATCCGAGTATTGAATGTGCATAGTAATTAATTAGCTACTGAGGTTAGAATACTCATCCTATCTAGGTTTGTGTATGCTAGCAATATTAATATATGTATATGTAATCTATGTGTCTATGCGTATTCTAGCTTTTTAATTTATGTTTCTAACTGAATCTAAGCAAAACCTTGATATTACACCTACTATAACTATATGTCCCTCACTATATTTATGTCTAAATCACACTAACTGCTAACCTGTTTCAGTAATACAATTGGATTTCAAATAATAATAATGATAAATACTCGCTCAAACCAACAACGCCACAGACACCGAATATGCACCGATTTTTACCGGGGTATTTTTATGGGTTTTTTCTGTCACCGTGAACAATGACATGGTGGTCACGTGACTGATGTTTCGAAACATTTTGTAAAATCGGTATCGAGACCAGAAGTTTCAGACGTCATCGGAATGGATTGACGCTGGGTGCCGAAATTGCCATCTCTAGTTTTCAGTCTTGTTAATAAACCCTGTTCATCCTCTGAGCCGACAGTGGGTCGTCCACCTTCCTGCCTGCACCGTGCCTCGCCCCCATGCCAGAACCTCCCGGGTTCATGACAGTAATAAGCATTCTCACACTTTTTTATCTATTCAGGGACATGAGGAGTATATTCATAACCATGCGACACACCCTAATAAGCATTCTTGCACTTTTTTTTTAATCTATCCAGGGATATGGGGGTTATGTTCATGACCATGCAACACACCTTAACAAGCATACTTACACATATTTATCTATGCATGGACATCGGGAAGTAGGGGCACATATACATGAACACATCAAGCCTGGAAGGGTGTGTGGGATTTGGATCACTTTGTGCTGCTGACTAATAACACTTTCTAGCTGATCACAGTATGCATAGCACTGCGTAAAAAGTGGTGTATCCAGGAGTATCTGGACAAAGCAAAACACCTGCAAAACCTTCAGTTTTGGTGGAGGTAACCCACAATTGTGCAAATACATTTGTAAACAGAGGTTTCCAGGAAACTGCCTGACCATAGTTGTTAGCTGATGGCTTGACCTTACAAATTCTAATAACAGTTAATGTCCTACAGGTATGTGTAGCTGGGTACTGAAGTCTGCCCCACAGGCCTGCACCCCTGCAGGGAAAAGCAAACATTGAGTGCAGCAAAAATTGAGAAAATGGAATTATTTTTGTGTTTCATTTACATTGCATTAATGAATGCGTTTTTGCTCGCTTCTCAATATTTCTGCATCAGAAAATTAGATTGATAACCGATATACTTTAGTCAATAGGTTCAGCTGGGATGTTTTAGTAGTATTTACACAGATAGTGCCAACTTACAAGAACAACTCAAGTTATAGTTAATCTTCCTCATAGTATCTAAGTCTGAAATATTTGTCTGTTGCTGACTTCTGTTTGTCCCATGTCTCTGTGTTAAGGTTCTAACTATAAATCTCATTTTCATTCTGTTTTTGGTTCAGTCAAAGTGTCACACCCCGGTATTTGTCACCACGCTGCCGTCCGGTGTGTGAGTAAAAAAAAAAAAACTCAATAACTTACCAGCAACCACATCAACGGACTTATTGGATGGCCCACAGTAGAGAATGACCTCTGCCTTGGCTCTTTCCACAGGGTCCTCAAAATATCTTGGCGTTCTAGAGTTCAGCTTAAGAAACCAATACACAATGTAGGCTCCCACCACTGTTTTCCCTGTCCCTGCAAAAAAAAAAAAGAAAATAATAATTATAATAACCATTTCCAGGCACAGACCTACAGATGCATCTCAATTTCAGAATCATCTTGTAGTACATTTATTTTGTCAAAGATCAAACTGGGATGCAGTTATACATCCAACTGTCCGTCTTCTGATCCAGCACATGAATCCTATGCCAGATAGCATAGAGCACAGGGCACCACTCAGGGGAGACCCCTGGACAGCATTTGGAACCCCCTGGATCAGACCTCTTTAAACCCCATACATACAGTACAAAGCACCAGTGTTAATCACTACACCACCCACAACTGCACATGGTCTTACCTGGAGGCCCTTGTATCAGTGTAAAGCTATTTCTCATGGCTTTCTCTATTGCATCGCGTTGGCTCTCATTCAGTTCTGGGAGTCCTGAAGGCTGAAATCGGATTATTTCCCATTTTTGGAGACTGGATTCGGAACCTGCTCAGTTCAAAGCAAAAACAATACAAATGTCCCTCACAAAAGTACTATTATGGAGCAATGACGCAAGCCGTGAATGCTTGAAACTTTAGATGAATAATCTCCTAGATTGTAAAGCTGAAATCAGGGAAGTTTCTAGCTTTTGAAAAGATCAGGGGCTAAGACAAATTTATCTGGGGCTATATACAGTATATATATATATATATATTTTGAAGGATGATTGGCATTGGGGCTAAAATACTCAGGGCTAGACTTAAAAAACCCGAGGCTACAGCCCCGAGTGATCAGACGAACGATGTACATGGCTGGAATACTCTAAATCCATGAAAATAATGTGAACACCAGACCCACTAAGACATCATAGCAGCTTAGTCAACTTGGCAAACTTGTGGTTCAGTTATTTTCAAACATACATTTATTATTTTAAAGCTGTTTTTCTATTAAATATATCAATACATCAAAAAACACATGACAGTTGTGCATTTCAAGATCTGTGTTTGCATTAAAAAATCGAATTTTCTGTTTCCAGAACTATACAATGCATATTATTATATCTCAGGGGTTAAATAACAGTGCAGTGTTTGGAATAATCCTACCTGCTCTTGGTATTTGTTTCCCCAGTGCTATTTTCTGAACAAGGTCATTTGCATTCTTAAGGCTGATTACGGCAGTCTCTTGGCGTCTAAGAAATTGGAAATTAAAATGCTTCGTATTATGACAGTCAGTGAAATCCCCTAAATAAGATCCCAACAACAGCAATGTAAACAGTTGGACCATTAGGATATAGTGAAATACAGTGACTTACAGGTAAAATCCAGTATTAGTCATCCCTTAATTGATATAAAAAGTTATTAAACTTACATGTTAGGGAGAAGTTTTGGTATTAGCTCAACTGTGAACTTTGTGTTCTCTTGAAACACGCATTGTGGTTTGGCATTCATTGACATATAGTTGATGTAGAATTCCACTTCTTTCACTTTATTTTTAGAATTCTTCTTGGTTCCTAGATCTCTTGTGGTAAATCCATGGGCTACCCAAGTAAATTTTTTGGGGTCTACTTCTACATTTATTTCCGAGCAGTTAACACTACAGTCATGTTTTATGTTTCTTTTTCGAATACACAAGTAGCATCTTGCTAGACTGCATTCAATAGCCCAGTCTTTTATGCAGTTGTTGGGCAAGAAGAAGCTTCCTTCCAATCCGACTCCCTGTTTCCATGTTAGTTCCACATCTTCAATGATTATACTATCACTTTCATCCACGGCATTAGCTGCAGACTCCATTTCACAAAGCGGTTTCCAGATCTTCACATATTCATCCACATTTCGGTACATGGATCTGGCTGCATGCTCTGCACTTGTAGAGAAACACATGACTGGGTTGTGAGTGTGTTCAAGACACACCTCAAAATCTGCATTAACATTGAGCAGCTGAACAATAGGTATGAAAAAGCCTTGCTTTTGTTCACTTGTCATTTGTACTTCAAGGATATCTCCAGGCTTCAAGTTGAAAGCAAGATTGACAAAGTGCTTCTCTCTATTTCCTGCTTCAGAACTCTCCTTCATGGGTTTTGTAGTTGTGCTCATTAAAATATCATTCACCATTTTCCAGTCCTCCATTCTCACAGCTTCAACAAGGTTCAGCCAAGCCTTCTGTGGGACACTAGTGCATGGATTGCACCGCTGGAATCTTTTAAGTTCCAAGGCGTTGCTGGTGGTAGAAATGGAGTAAATCCGCCTTTTCCATGCCAGTGTCACGTGTTCTTTTTCAAACACTGGTTGGTCTTCAAGTTGCAAATCTCTGTACATAATAGGCAGAGTGTCTTGTAAGTCATTATTAAATGGAAATGATAACCGGAAGCTCTCTCCGTCTGGGTCTACAGTACTGACAAATGCCAGCTTCTGAGAATTTTGCTGCCTTAGGTTTATGGCAACTGAGAGTTCTTCAGCTTTCTTTTTGTAGGCATTTGCTGTTTTGTTTTTGTTCTCAAACTGCTGACACAATATGTCAATCTCTTGTGGGGAGTATTGGATTGGAGTATTAGTGAGTACCCCATGGAGAAGCCTTTGGATGATTATATCCAAGTAGCGACGAAGAGGTGATGATGCCAATGTATAGGAGTTGAGCTGCAAAGAGTAGTGGCCAACTTTTGATTTGGGGGCTGAGTTAGAACGGACGACATATGATTTACCAAGCAAATTCCTGAGTTCTGATGTTGCAGGGTGAAGATGTGGGTGGATGTTGTCTGTGGCAATCAAGTCAATCACTTTGTCAGATTTTCTCATCTGAGCAGCAGACTGAAGCTCCTCCCATAATGAAGTTAATATGCAGAAGCTTTCATTCCTTGACTGGTTACAATGGGATCCAATGTGGTATCTCAGATGGGTAGATAATGGTATGAGATCTTGATATTTCTCTTGAAGTGCTCTTACACTTTCCACTGTTAGCTTTTCCTGGCATCTCAGGGGTGTACACATTTCTGTTTCACTTAAACCAATCAAAAATTCAGATACACAGCTGTTGAACATTATCATGAGTTCTTCAATCATCTGATGTGATTTTCTTCTTCCTATGGGCCGGCATTCATCAGGTTGGGCATAGCACCAGTCTTCCAGAAGTCGCGCTTTTCTGTGGGCCTTGGAAAAGTGATAAGCTATGGTAACATAATCCTTCAACTGACCCCCAATTCCAGTGCCTTCAATGATGTCCTCAGCTTCTTCATAAGTCAGCTGATGATCTGACCTTATTCGAGATAACACAAATTCATGCTTAACAATTTGATTTGTTGCTTTTTCAACTTTGATAATTAAAGAAATTGCTCGACGATCCTGCCCTGGAAGAAAACTGCATTGGTGAATGCTGAAGGGTTTGGGGAGCATGAATCGTCGCTCTTCATTGGACACATAAAATGTAGCTCCCATTTTTTTTGCTTCCAGATCTAAGAGACTGCCTCGGCTCACAAAGCTTGCTACATCTGTGATATGCACTCCTAGTTCATAGCAGTTATTAAAATCCTGAACACTAATTGCATCATCCAGTACCTTGGCATGTTTTGGGTCAACTGTAAAAGTTAGTATGTCCCGAAGGTCCATTCTAGTTATTTCTTCCTTTTCAGTGTCGGAACAGACCTGGGCTGCAGTCAGAACATGATGGGATTGAGAAACCAGTCTAAATTCTTTGTCAAGAATGTTCAGTGCTGCATCCAAAGACTTTCCAATGGGGTAAATATCAGTGACATTGCCCAAGGGAAATATATTATTTTCCTTCCAGCGTATCACTTCCACAACAAAGACATGATCATGCTTTGTCTTTTCATTGAAGTGTACACTCTTCATAATGTTCCAATTTCCATTGTCTGACCTCCATATAGGTATCAAGTTTGGGTTCTTCTTGTTGACCAGAACTCGAATTTTGGTTGCATTCTGGTTTATTGGCACAAAAACCTTGGTGACCTTGTCACTGATAGGGCTCTTTTTGTTGTAGCTATCCTCTAAGGTACACACAAATACTCGAGAAGCTTCAGCCTTCTTGGTGATGCCCAGCACTTTCCCAAAATCGTGACCATTTTCTTTGTATATTTCTACAACCACTTCATCTCCAGAAAAGGACTTTCCTATATTCGTTTTGCCTTTAATGACGATGTGGGTGGAATGGTTGACATATGGCATGACATACCCTCTGTCAAAATGTTCCAGCACCAATTCACCGTGCTTGTAGAGTGTAGGCTGTAGTGCCACCATTTCCAATAATGTGTTTTTCTCAGTTTCAGAATAAAATGCCTTATGTTGAACACTGAAATGCTCCTGTTCCACTCCATCAGGGTGATCCCCTAGTAGTGCTCCATCCTCTATAATGCTATGATCTTCTGTTAGCTCTTGAAGTATCTCATCCACATTTGGCTCTTCTGCTGGATATTCAACATCGGCATCACACTCATTCACAACCCTTTGAAATCTTGAGATTTCCCAGACTTCTTGTTCAATGAAGTCTACAGTTAGATGTGGTGGGTTCATGCTTCCCTTCCCAATACATTGCCCAGTGTAGCTTTTCCAGATCTTCGTGCACCTCCCAAACATGCACAGGGCCACAGCATCTCCCACCACAATGACCTGAGACTGAGCTCTGGTCATGGCAGTATTCAGCACTCTGGCATCATTGAAGAAATCCAGGTAAGCTGAGTCAGATGAGAGCAGGCTGTCTCGAGTGTGAACGGTGCTCATCACTACTACCCGGAACTGTTTGCCTGTTTAGGGAATAAAATAAACAACAGCCATAAAAGATGCATGGCACTATTTTCATTCTTCTTCTGCATACTTTGCAGTAATCTTCTGTTGTGTTGTACCTTTTAACAATGCCTTGCTTATCATCATGAATATGTTAACAAATTAAGGCTAGCTAGTGAATCCAACATCCCCCCACTCCCAGACCTTGACTATTAGTAACTGATGAAATTTTGATCTCGGAGGAAAACAACTGAGTACCCCATAGGCCTTGATAGGACAAAACCCAGATATCTGCATGCAAAGGTGAACCAGAAAGGGGTATTTTTATACTGTATACTGTATAAAACTGTACTTTACTGTATGGAAATTCAGAAAGGTAATGCAATATCATGATTTTTTTTTACAGTTTTCTCACAATAATGGAATATTTTTCTCGATCTCGAGAACACAGTTAACTTGGAATCTGTTTATACACTGCATGCACTTTTCTTGTGTGGCACTTTGTTTTACTTTGGATGAATGGTTTTGGTACAATGTAAACGTTTAATTCTAACAGACTTTAAGTCAACATGCAGTATGTTACTGTAAGTATGTGATTTTAATATTCTACCTTGAACATTTTCCAAATTTTCCACAGTTACTCTGGAGAGGTCCGTTCTTCGCAGTGCTTTCCTGATCAGAGGAACCTGCAAATGAAAGGAAATCAGTGAACATCAGGGGTGACAAGATATCTGAGCCCAGTATGGTTAGGAGTTTGTGTGTTTGTGTGGATTCCTCCAGGCACTCCAGGTTCCTACAGCAGTCTGAAGACAGTGTTAGGAGAACTGGCATCTCTAAATTGCCTCCAGTTAGTGAATGTGCATGTGTGTGTGTCCTGTGATGGTGTTGCCCTGTCTTGTGACCCATGCTGAATGGAACAGGCCTGAGACCCTTTAAGGCACTGGAGAAGTGCTTGGAAGACTGGTTCATGATATCAGTATAAAGTAGCTGAATACCTGACATCCTTCAGAAAGGACGCATATTGTTCTTTGATCCCGATTTCCCCACTCAGGGGGCCATTCCTCCAGTACTGATTTGACAACTTGCACAACACTTGTGATCTCATCTGGATTAAACCAGGACATGGTCGTGGAGTCCAAGCGGCACTGGCCACGAACGTGCTGGAACTTCAGAGGATGGTGGTGGGGGTGCGGAGGCACTGCCCCACTGGCCTTGATGGCATCACTCTTACCAACGTAGAAGTAAGTGGACACAAAGTCCACTATTTCCTTAGTGGAGCGGTAGTTTTCATTGAAGATGATTCTGCTTCTTGAAGCTGCTAAATTCTTGTCTTCCTGGTAGTAACGGAACAGGTGATTAAGGAGCGTCTGAGCACAGCATTGGCCATCTTGAACGGAGAAAAGCTTCGGACCCATCTGCATGTGGTCTCCAGCCAGAACCACTCGTGTTCCTTTTCCTGCCAGGCTCAGGGGCATCAAAGCTTCACACTCCAACATCTGAGAAGCTTCATCGATCATTATATGACTGAAGTAACCCGATGGCAGCTTCAGATCATGGAACAATCTGGCCATTGCAGCTGTGGTTATGACTATTTTGAATTTGTCTACTGTAGCCTTGTCAGGAAACAGAAACTGACCATCCGTGGAAAGGTGACAGTATTGTACCGTAATGTCATCTGTTGCACTGGTAACCACCCCTTTCTTGTTGGCTTTAATCCTGAGAGGTCGAGCTTGAGGATTTCCAGCGTTAACATAGAGGTGGAAATGATCTTTCACATATAAATCTGCAGAACTGGAAAAAAGGGAAAATGATGCTCCCTCAGGTCAAACATAGAAAATTTACTTTAAGAAAAATGTACCTTTGATCTGAGCTAATTTTCAAAAAGAAACTTGAAAAAAAAAATTCAAAAACAATTGAAATACTGGAAAGGAGAACAAGATATATAAATATATGAGGAAAAATTATAAGACTATATATAATATATCTTAATATGAGCACATTCCATTGTACATTTTTTTTGAGTTAAGGAATACTTCATTTACAGTGTTTCTGAAATCTTACCTATTTGTGTGAGTGCAAATTAGGACTCTGGTTCCAGGCTGACGGACCAACTCCTTTGCTGCTGTGGCCAGAGTGTAAGTTTTCCCTGTTCCAAATGGTCCGTATATGAGGAGAGGTGCGACGCTTCTTCTTCCGTCCGATTCGCCAAGGATGAAGGACATGGCTGTTTGCTGCTTTGCATTAAGCCTAGTGTACTGCACCGCGTGCACTGGAACACAGCACTGGTCCATGTCTGGCAAAACCATTTCAACTTCTGGAAGGAGGTCGACGGCTTTGTGCATCTCGCAGAGAGGAAGACGACTGATCTGAAACTGGACCTCCATTGCACAGGTCATGTTGCTCTGGAGCCCCATGTCATGGCAGCATCGTTTGGAGAGCTGCAGATACATCATGTTCTCACTGCTGGCATCTCGAACGATGTCCGCCTCGTAGACCTGATTATTCTGATTGGCTGCTGACGCGGGAGCCACCAGGGCTGAACAGACCGATCTCCTTAGCACGTAGCCCTCTGGGGTGTCGGGCGTCAGGGAGAAATGAACAGGGACTTCAGCAAAAAGCTCCCCAGCTGGAGCAAATTTCATCCCAAATCCATCTCCATAGATCTTGTCAGGCAGGGAGATGGTTGTTTTTAGGCTTAACCTGGAAAACGAACATACAACAGACGAAAAACTTATATATAAGATATACAAGCAAAATATTATAATTTTGCAAGGAATAATAGCAAGGAAGACTTTAGACTGAAGAAAACATTGCGAACTATTAAAGAAATCCACAATCCATTATTTGTCTGAGTTCTTTACAACATCCCAGTTCCATATCTGTTTAATGCCCTAACCAGATGCAAACTACAGGTCAGAAGGTCTACAATGTTATCTGAGATCTAAGCGTAAAGCAATATTGGTACCTGGACACCACCTCTTCTAGTGCCAGCTCCTCTCTGTAGAGGAAGTTGTGCATTCGCTCTCTGTAGTTCTGGCGGGTTAAGGGACTGTGGTCTTCAGCTTTGGGGTTGAACTGCAAGTTCATTTGAGGAGGCTTGTACTCCTTCAGGAGCTCCTCTTCTTCCTCCTTTTTTTCTGTACAGGGAATGATGAATCTGTTTCCCCGGTGCCATCTCTTCAAATCCTGGATGAGGGGCCTCACACTCATGGGCATCTCCTCTGGTAAAGGGAGCATATGCTCTCCCACCCTCACTTGAAGTTTCTGTAAGAGCACTGGCCTCATATTGAAGTCGAACACCAGCCACTGCTCATACAGACCTGGGTTAATGGAGGTAAAGAACACTGGAACCTCAAAGGACATGTCTGAAGTACAAAATTTCTCTCCAGTCGCATAAATGCAAGGACCCTCTGGACTGATTTCACCCAGAGAAAATGTAGATCCCGGTTCTTGTTTCAGAAGCGCAATATGCCCAAGTAATCGCTGTAAGTAAATAAATAAGTAAGTAAATAAATACATAAACAAACAAACTTCTCTCAAGTTTTCATGTTCTAGCCACATATTCTGGGTCATGGGGTATTTTTACAGATTCAAATTCATATATATTAATTATTAAGTCTATGTCTGTCACCTCAGTTTTAATCTGAAAAATCCACTTTAACAGAGTTCCAGTCTTCTCACACTCCACACTCAAATCCTTATCATGTGTAACAATGACATCATCAACATAATCCGAGATCTGCAAAAAAGGCAAACACAAAGCTGAAAGAGATTTCATCTCAATGCAAATATGCCTCATACTCCACACACAAAACCATGTGAATGACCTAATCGACATGATCTGAGATCTGCAAACACAAATCTGAACCACATTCAACTATTCATATATATATATATACAGTATATATATACACACACACACATAATTAGACTTATTATGCGACAAGAAATAAATGCTAAAATTCGATTTTTAAAAAGCAGGAAACTGTGACATATACCTATATTGCAATTGATGTGAGGCAGGAACCAACCATTGCTGAGTGCACACTTACACACATACACACATACAGTTAATTTAGACATTCCAGTTTAGTTAAGCTGCATGTTTTTGGACAGTGAAAGGAAACTGGAGAATCCGGCAAAAAGCCACGCATGCACAGGGTGAACATGCAAACTCCGCACACACAAAGTGGCAGCGTGCAGTGAGAGCGCTACCCACTGCACCACTGTGCTACCCACTGCACCACTGTGCTACACACTGTGCTACTGGCACTGCTTTTGCATGAGCCCTGCAAACGCTCTCAGAGACTACGTGGTTCCATTTGGGCCAAAAATATTTCGACATGCATATCGGTTCCCATTTGTGCCAAAAATATGTCAACAGTGCACAATTCATGTCGACTGAACATGCAGCAAAACATGTCCGTGTCTATTCAACGTCGAACTGTACTACAGCAATGACAAATCTATTTTGACAATGAGATTGTCTACGTCGATTGCTTCCCTGACAAAGTTCAAATTTAAACTGTACTTCTGTTGTCTTGACACACCCAGTCATTTGACTGTATTGAATGCTGAGCAAATATTTCAACACGTTGTCATGACGTGCCACTCTCCTCGCCGTTCTGCACGTCACCCTGTGTGTTGTCGTCTTCATGCGTTGTTCTTCTTGTCGTTTGCCTGTGTTGTTTTGCTTCTTCTACTGCTTTATTATTCTTATTATTCTCTCTGTCCCTGACATCCCAAACAAGCTAATTCAAGTAAAAGTTTAATCATATAACTAGTTTTCATATAGAAGATCATTCAAATAATAAATAAATAAATAAATAAAATAAGACGTGCAGGTAAAGTACATAAAACACTTCGCGTTGACAGACGGCGCCTTTATGGATTGTTGAACACCTATGAAATAAACGGAAACATACGTCTTGTGCTAAGCGATTAGAAGTAGGCCTACAGTTTAAAGCTTAACTGACAGACAAATGTTTTGTCAGGTATGCAATCAGTTATGTGTGTTTTGTGTATGTTGTTTTTAAGTTATTTTTTAATGCTCCCTTAGTTTTCATTTTTTATTTATCTATTTACATCGTAAGTCAAGGAGGAATGGTATTTCATTCTTAATTCTACCAAAGTGCGTGATAAATTGACAATAGAGGAAATCATTACCTCTTAATTTTAACAGACATAGACATGGTTGTCAAAATAGTATCGTCGCGGCTAAAGTTCAGTTCAAAGTTGAATAGACACAGACAAATGTTGTGTTACACTGCATGAAATATTTTTGGAACAAATGGAGCCCAATAACATCTGCATTTAGGTGCGTCCGTTAAACCTGAATCTCCTCTTTTACGATGTATTTGCATTGCAGTCGTGCTGTGGTGATATTTAAATTCTGCTTTGCAATACTGACAGACGACTGCATTCTCATTCGCTTTCAGTCTGAACTGCTTCCATCAAACTAATGCTTTTGCTCATCCGCTATGCGACGTCTTCCTTCTGCCATGATGCCAAGTAATAGAGAAGGAAAAATTTTGGTTATGGATTCATGTTGCTGTTATGCTTATACGTTACCCTATTTATTTGCAGCATGCAGGCCTGTTATAATACGTAGATCCTTACTCACAATGTGCACTTCATTACTGCTGTTCCTGTACTCCTGCAAGAGGAGCTCCCTGTAAGACATCAGCCCCTGAGCTTCTGCACTGCTCCTGATCTCCTCTGCCTCCTTGTGCCGCATGATCCACTCAGTCAGTTCCTCCGCGGAATGCGCCCGCGTGCAGTTATGGCCATAGTCGCACGTCTTAGGCCTAAATATTTACCAGAAAAACAAATCATTGTAAGGGGCTATACAGGGGTACTGGGGGCCACTGGCTAGGTTATCTTTAGCCACTATTTTTTTTTTTAACCGTAAGAAAAACGAGAGATAGGGGAAAATGGTAACTTTGGTAAAACTTGCCACTTGAGTGGGGGGGGATGCTGTAAGTGAATTGAACAGTAAGTGTAAGTGAACAAACAGTGGGGGCCGGTGGAGTGGCCCGTAGGCTAGTATGTTGTGTTTTAATAATTTTCTTAGCATGCAAGGTATTTTGGTAAGATACATGAGACTTTGAGCTCAGTTACCTGTCGCAAAGTTCTGGTTTGCAATTCTGAGGGGGAGGTCGGTGCTTCCATTCTGCGGTGAAGTCCTCAGTGATCATCATGGTGTGTTCAAGGGAGGCACAATGCTTAATGAAGCTCTCCTGGGAGGAGACAGTCAGAAGGCAGGCTTTGCAGTAGTATTGCAACGCAGGACTGGACTTAGCCGCTGAGCTTGTGTCTGACAGCTGTTTCCTTTGGGACAGCAAGATGAGGTCCTGCCGGTGCAACTTGCCTGTGACCTCTTCCTTCCAAACAGCCATCTCCACTTCACTGTGCGCGAACGGGCAGCTGCTGAACCTGTGCCAGCAAGGAAATCCCCGAGCAACATGGGCACAGACCTGAAATCCGTGGAGTGACCGGTGGCGGATCTCATTATAAACCTTCTTGCTCTGCTCTTCCAGGCAGTGGGTTAAAATGGGACTCCAGGTGTGCGCTGCCTCCCCAGTGCACGTGTTGTTCCACCTTTTGTCTGCGATTCTCTGGGGGGAGCTGCGAAAACAAGCCCCGCAAAGCTCCCTAAACTGCCCGCCAAACTCGGCCAAGATTTCCCCGGCTGTGTCGGCCCGCTTTTGGGCGTCACCTCGACGACTGGCCAAAAGTTTTATCAGAGTGCTGTGGTCCATTTTGTTGCGCTTTTGAAAGTTCCACACCATAACCTCTTCATTACTTGTGGCAAAGGTACACCGATTATGGTGCTTGGTGCATCCTAGGCCTTCCACAAAAAAATAGCACACGCAGTATTTGCTGGGGTTTGGAAACTGAGGCCGACGGGAGATATATCTCCATCTTTTGCCATTGCCCTTAGCCTTGGCTAAGAGTATATCGCCATGACACTGATGCGCAGTGGTTCTCAGCAAATATGTTATTTCATTCTCTTTACTGGCACATGTGGAGCAAGCGATTTTCAAGTCACATATTTCCAGAAGTGTCTTTAGAACAGATGTGTCTTGTTCTGCAGCTGTCATGTTTGTTGCGTTGGACGGCATCACCAGATTACCGTGTAATCAATGGTTGAAAGAAATAAAAAATTCATTTGGAATAAAACTCCCACTGCCTTCTTTGAGCTGCATCCATTTAGCATAGCCAGGTATTCAGAGGAGGTTCTTGCTGAACTTGGAGACAATCCCAAGGTGGGAAGCGCAACAGGGCAGATGACGCGCCATATAAGATTCCAGTTTCAAATTAGTCTTATCTACAGAAAAAAGACATGACATACTTAAAGACAATGGCAAAAAATGTGTTTTAGTAATGAAAATGAGCATTCGCTAACTAAGCACAAATGGGCAGGAGTTACATTTCAAGGAAACAAATATTAAAAGAAACAAGAAAAAAATGAACAACTAAGCTTTGTTTTAGTCGTGCATATTTTGGTAAACTGTATGACGATTTTGTGTTTACAGAACTCTGGCTCATACTAAAAAAATGGATTTTGGTATTACGTTATATCCTAGTCAGCTATAGTCAGCTAGTTTTGACTTACAGCAAAAAAAATCACAATTTTCTTATCGGCAACCATTTAAAATGTTTGCTTTTACACACACACATCTAAGAATCTTATTCAAAACACCTGACCTTTGTATAATAAATGCTTCCAGAGTTCTCTTCTTACATTAATCATCTATTACATACAAACAGTTGCATATGATTTTAAATGAGAATCCATGTCATGACATAATTCATGATAATGAATGGATTCATGCCAGAAGACCTGCAAAAGTTTACATTCCAGTGATCTGATCATGGTATAGAAAACATGCTATTTCCTTTTCATTTTGACAGCCTTTGTTGTCACTGATTGTCATCTTTACCTCACTTTGTAGTGACGATTTGTCCCACTTTTCTTGTTTTGAAACCTGCATTTCTGGTTTCCTTTTCCAGGTTTTAAAATACAATGCTCATTGATGCTAATTGCTGTTTGTTGCTTAAAACCAGCAACAAATCATAGTGTTAGGTTCCCATTACATATATTTCATATATTTTTGTATATTTACTAAAAATTAAAATTCTCAAACTTTAGTTTTCTAAAAGACATCATCTAGGGTAAATGTCATCAAAAAGAGAGAAAAAAATGTCTGAAGGTTTGATTGGAAAACAAAGATTCCCATTAAATTTATATAGTTGTATTTTTATTTTTTAAAACTTTATCTATTCATTATGCAGCATCAGTTTTGCTGCTATTGCTGTGAATTTGCATTACACTGCATATCTATTGATTGAACGTAAATGACAGGCATATAATATTGTATTAAAAAAAAAAAAACTGTCAAGCAACCAGCTGTATCTGGTTTTCTCTTGCTGACAGGATGTAACCATGTCAGCAGATTTGAATTAGGGTGAATTCCAACATAAACAAAGCTACAATCCAAGACAACTTCATGGATTCCCTCTCTTTGATATATGATGTAGATACATTTTTGTTATATTAATACCATATATTTGACACTTACTGTAGGAACAATGGGAGAACACTATCATTACAGAATATAAATATGGAGTTTTTTCTGCTGATAAAATTGTGACCACAGCAGGAAGTCAGTACAACCCAGTACAAGAAGTTATTTCAACTGTTTAATCATCGCTCTTGACAAGAAGTCTCACTTTTTTGAACAGGGCAACAGACGACAGGTGAGAAGACTGACAGAGATCAGGACAGGACAGGAGAGTGGAACTAAATTGAACATCGTAAATGAATATGTGCCAGATCAGACAGACTAGCGGAGCAATCGGCCCTCTGAGGCAGACTAGTGGAACACTGTTACCATAACGTTCCTCCTCACCCTCTTTCCCCATCTACTGACTTAATTAATATGCATTTAAACTAACCAAGGCCAGTGGCATTAAACTAACTGGGTTACCTGAGGAGCCAGTCAGGTCAAATATAAAGTGGAGCAGAAACAAGGGGCACAAACTGAGGTTTCACATTCTTTCCCTGTTAAGCACCGATTTGGAAGAATTTTTTTTCTTGTTAAAATGTGACATCACAGAAGACTCCTAACATGTAAAGCTAAACACCAAAAATCATGGGGCAAGGGGGTGTTATCTTGTATATGAATACGAAACGCCCCTATAATTGGCCTAGCTCGTTAAGTAGCATTTTTCCGTGTTATCATCATCGTTTTTGTGTAAGATGAACACAAATTTGTTAAACTTTATCTAGATCAAAAGGGCACCCCCTCCCCGGCATTTTCCTGCCTATTGCTTATCATTGGTGGTCCAGAAGTCATTGCACCCCGGCCGATGAGAATGAAAGACTTGTAGAAATTATCGTCTTTCGAGCCAGTGACTATAGGTTATACTGACAACATGCACTCAAATCAAAATGGTGAAACAACATCAAATTGAACGGGCGTCCATTTATTTGTAATTTTGTGAAAAAAGAAAACTAAGTAATGTGATACCTATATTTTTAAGTTTAAGATCTTAATATTTTGCTAGTATACCAAGATATTTTATTCAGACAGGAAAAGTATTGCATAGTTGACAATTTGGCATGGGCCAGTACTGATGAATAAGACTATGACACAATTCAATCTACTTTCGAAATAAAAAAAAAAAAATTGGCTCGTGCCACTGACATTCACAAACTCATTATTCTTCATACACAGCCAACCCTGTTTTCCCGATTCGTAAAGTACACACAAATTACCTATTTTATTAACAAAGATGCACAAAGGTCACTGTTGTTTCTCTGGGAGCCTACGAAAAGAAACAAAAAAGGAGGGGAAAAGGATGTCTCTTCAACACTTAGGAACATTCACAAACACCGGCAGCTTACATTACTGTGGGAACTCATGGATTTTTAATCATGCATTCCTAACAATATGTTTACATATTTGGAACCTTGCCGTTCTCCCTTACTCGTGTTCCGTGTTCTCCACACTCTGTGACCTTCAACAACTGGCTGTTTTTCATATGGGACCATCAGGTTTGTTAGGTCTAAGCAGAGACACAGTGTTCTGGAAAAACACTGCTGTGTGTCCTTGGCTTAAGAAGCTTGGAACAGCGTATCTGTGGTGGGCCCAAGATGGGGGCAGACACTGAAATGCATTTTAAAACTTTTCACTGACTTAAGAGCACTCACCTATCTATTTCCTTTCGTTCCATATTTCTATTGATTTTAAAATTAAACACTACGGAACTCAACCATCTCTGAAGTTGGTCATTTCCAGCACAATCCAGCAACACTTAAAATATATGATTTGTTCTATAGCAGATCAGAACCTTCAGACAAAACGTAGGCACCTACACGTAATGTTACTCAACTAAAGAAGCATATTTCTATCAAACGTATTTAAATCCAAGTTAAATAAAATTAAACATAAGCGTATTTTCTAAGTTCTCATATCCAGTTTTCCATTTTGCAATATTACCTTTGTTTGACGTCATCTTGTAATGTTATAAAGGTACAAATAAACTCACATGACCGCTTTTAATTTCGAGCCAGTGACTATAGGTTATACTGACAACATGCACTCAAATCAAAATGGTGAAACAACATCAAATTGCTGTTCGCAACCCGTGATATGTTCAAAGTCTTCGGCAATTTAATTCATCGCCTTTCGAGCCAGTGACTCGGTTATACTGACAACATCCACTCAAATCACAATGGTGAAACAACATCAAACTGAACTGACGTCCATTTATTTGCAATTTTGTAAAAAAAAAGAAAAAAAAGAAAGAAAAAAAAGAGATGATTTCTATATTTTTTAAACATTTTGCTAGTATACCAAGATATTTTATTCGGACAGGAAAAGTATTGCATAGTTGACAATTTGGCATGAGCCAGTAAGCCTACTGAATATAAGACTATGACATAATTCAGTCTACTTTCGAAATAAAAAAAAAAATTGGCCACTGACATTCACAAACTCATTATTCTTCATACACAGATAACCTAGAATTTGTTTATCATACCTAGCTTGTTTATCATAGATAAAGCCCACTTTCATGAATGCAATAAGCCGCCCCTATTCTCATTAATAACAACGTATTCGCATTAATAATATTTATTATAACAAATGTTAAAATGACATTTTCTTACATCCAATACAGATTTTAAGGTCAGGTAGATATGACTGAAATGCACTTATACAAACTAATGAACGCTGTTTCGCAACGATACGACGACACATACGATTACAACATACAGTATGTTCGTCCTATAATATCACAAAACTGGAAACGCTACATTAGTCTTTTGCATAAGAACAAAATGCATTATTGATCACCTTTAAAAAGAAATGCAAACTTACGTATAAAGCTTGTGATGATAACCAAGTCGGCGAAAAGAAATATCTAAAACCTCGTTCCATGGAATACCGTTCTGTTCATTTAAAATAACAGTTTATATTCACACCGCCAAATGGGTTCCTTATCTTATAAGGTGTAGGAAGCCGTTGCTTTGCGTGTAGTTTGTTAGGTATCACTTCTGTGTCTCACGATAGTTTCGGTTTCAGCGTTTTTACGTACCACAGATTAAACACTCCTACCGCTGTACAATCATAACTCCGACGAACTTTGCCCTCCTGCAACATAATACAATGATGAATTTTAAATTATGCGAATACACAGACATATGTTCTCATCAGCTCTTACTTATAATGTGTAGGCTACGCATATATATATAATATTGGTAATTTTTGTGTTTCACATTGTAGATAGCTGCAGTCTTGACTTAGTACAGACACTTTTAATTTTGACCCAGAAACACACACACACACACGCCGCTCATTCAATTCTACGGGAAAAAAATGCTAATGCTAACGTACTATGACAACCTTACCCAGCCCTAACCATAACCATATAAGTAACCATTTGGCATTTTTAGTTTTTTCATTGCAGTCACGATTTTTTTATATATATAAAATAGAGTTTTCCCATATCATATGGGGAGGAGGAAACTGGTCTCCATAAGGTAAAAAAAAAACGGGTATTCATCACGTTGTGGGGATATTTGGTTCCTACAAGGTAAGGTATACGTACTGTACCTGGACCACACACACACACACGCAGTAATTCCTTTCCTTGCACGGGTAGCTTCCAGGATAAGCTGCGCGATCTCCATGACCCTGCATGATACAAGCGGGTATAGAAGGTGGTTCAAGCTTATTTCCGATATGAAATTAAGATATTGCTGGCGAATAATTAGTCAATAATTACGGTTTATTATATTATACAGTTTTATTGGGTTGTATTTAGAGATTTGTTGATTTTGTCTTAACAATTGGAGGTGCCATCCAGTGCGAATGCCCTGTAAGTGAATGCAAATTAATACTTATTTTCTTTAGTAATTTCAGCAGTGGCAAGAAAAGTCATAGTAATGTATGGATATTTTTTATTTGTTTTCTGTAAGAACCACTAATCTATTTCTCAACTGTAATTAAGTAACTTCTATTTTGTTTAAGAAATTACAAGGAAACTGTTAAGCACCACACCGTTTAATTAGTTGAAAATAACCATTGTGTAGTAAGAACATAAGAAATTTACAAAATGAGAGGGGGCCCATCAAGCTCGTTTGGGGAGAACTTAACTAATAGCTCAGAGTTATCAGTTAGCTCTAATTTAAAGGAACCCAGGGTTTTAGCTTCCGCTACACTAGCAGGAAGACTATTCCATACTCTATAACTACACGCTGTGTAAAGAAGTGCTTCCTCTTTCAAAATGTTCTCCCGCTAATTTCCACTTATGGCCACGAGTTCTAGTATTTAAACTAATATTGAAATAGCCATTTG